GGCAGCACAGGCCGGTAATCTCAATATTTGGAAAGTAGAGGCAGAAAGATCAGGAGTTCAAGGTCACCCTTGGCTACATAGCAAATTTAGGCCCTGTCTCAAAAACAAAACAAAACCACCCACTGTCCCCAAAACCATCATTTTTAATAAACTGTATAAAATACAAAATATTTAGAAATAAGTCTTGTGAAAGATGAGGGGAAACGACTGAGGTTGAAAACGTTACTCAGAACCAGGAGGCCGGCCGGCTCTATGATACTTTGTCTCCAAATATTTACCCAGGTATGATGACCCATTTCTTTAGACTTTAATACTAGGACCTGGGAGTCTAAGGCTGGTCTTGAACTCTTAATCCCCCTGCCTTTATCTCTTAAATGTTGAAATTTCAGGCGTGCACAACCATGCTTAGCTTTGATTTAAATTTTTAAAAAAATCCATTGGGTAGGCATGGTGGCGCACCCCTTTAATCCTAGCATTCGTGGGGAAGAGGCAGGCAGATCTCTGTGAGTTTGAGGCCAGCCTGGTCTACACAGTAAATTCTAAGTCACCCAGAGCTATACAGTGAAACTGTGTATCAACAGAACAGAACAGAAAAGCACTGGCAGAAAGAACATAAAGGCACTGTGTATGTATGTTGAGCAGCACCAATGTCGTCCCACTGGAAATCTGATCGGGGCTGACCTCACTCAGCTCCTATCCCAGACCCTAGCTCACCTGAGCTCTGAGCACAGCCATGGTCTCTAGGTCCTCCTCCTGCTTAGCGATGGTCTGCTTCATCTCGTCCATCTGAAGCTGCTTGGATGCCAGGGCCCGCTCTGCCAGCTCCAGCTTTTCATGGAGCTCTTGCAGCAGCGTCTTGTCCACCTTTTCTGCCTGAAAAAATACAACTTCATTCTAGAAATGGCTTTGAAACGATGCAGCCTACTTTAGGAAAACAGAAAAGTTTACACTTAAAAACTGTCAGCTCTAGTCTGTTACTTAGCAGTGACAACTCATTCAGGAAGTTGTAGTCACTTGTGACTTGCAAACAATCACTTCCTTGTTTCAAACAATTTCCTTAAAGGTAACCCTGAGTGTAGCATTGTTCACAGTAGATGATGTCAAATACACAATAACAAGCCCTACTCTGGTGAGCTTGCCAGGCATGGATACTGTTATTTATCTTGTTATATGTTTTTACTTTATTTATTTATTTTTCTGAGACAGGGTTTCTCTGTGTAGTTTTGGTGCCTGAACTGGATCTTGCTCTGCAGACCAGGCTGGCCTCGAACTCACAGAGATCCGCCTGCCTCTGCCTCCCGAGTGCTGGGATTAAAAGCGTGTGCCACCGCCACCGCCACCTGGCATATGTTTATATTTAAAAGGTCTTTGCTGGGCATCATGCCTCATGCATTTAATCCAAGCACTCAGGAGGCAGGGGCAGATGGAACTCTTTGAATTCAAGGTCAGCCTTGTCTACATAGTGAGTTTCAGGCTAGCCAAGGCTACATAGAGACTCAGC